CTTTGTGGGAGGGGGCCTTGAAAAGGTTCTGAAATTCAGGCCGTGCCAAAGGAGTTCGATGACACACTGCGACTCCCCGCCCATTCGATTACTGCGGAACTTCAAGAACGGCACGCAATAGAAGCATCGAAAAAGAAACGTCTTGGGAAATGATACTTTATTATATGGAAGTTATTACAATCAGTAATCTGTACAAAAACATCTCAATGGTACATCTATCTGTACAACTATGTTAAAAGTAACCAGTTTGTAGGGAAAGAATAAAAAAAATGGAAAGTATTGAAACAAGAACAGCTGCAAAAAGAAGTGAATCATCAATGGAATATCACTAATAATTGATCTACATAACAAGGGCGCTAATTACAAGTGAGATTTGTCAAGTCGCTGGAGCTCGTTTCATCTTTCTCTCGTTCTTGTTCTTGTTCCTCTTCTTCTTTTTCTTGTTTCTTTTTTCCGTATAGTATATTTCTCCCGTGATTTCGATGCCATCCATTCCCGTGGATACTTGAAAATTAGCATCAGCAGGAGTGGGTATTGACCGCAAAGGGAATAATTGGACAGAATTCATCCATGTTCGACCTTTTGCTTCCTACTTGCCAAATTCTGGAACCCAGATGCACTGTCAACAGGTAAACGATTAGAAAAATATTTTGAACTCACCTTCACAAAACTTCTCATTCCGTCAATTGTGATCAGGTTTGGAGCGTGGATGTAGAAATAGCTTGCAGTAAGGTTTGCAAGGATGTTGTCATCTATCGGGATGAGGCTTCCTTCGGAGCAATTTACAGAGATAAAAGGTATCTTCACAATAAATTGGAAAAGGTCCGCGGTGAAGTCATCCCAAGGGAGAAAACCGTCGATGTGGACTTCTTAGGATCAGCGACGCGAAGAAGTTGAAGAAGTGCAGCAGATGTGACGTGATACCGCGGTATTTTGGTCATCCATAAGTTTGATATCTTACTGCCCGTATACTGTAGACATAACGAGACCGTCCGCAGAATACCGTCCGTTAAGTATTCCTGAAATAATGAAGGATTAGGATCCCACGCATGGAAAGTGAAGACTTATTAGTAGAAGTTTTGTCCCGTCGAAAACTAAGAGTATTGCAAGGTATGGGCGAGACCGCCCGGGTGTGCCTCGGCTCTATCGGCGCTATCCTCAAGGTGTAGCAATCGCGTCGATACTAAGGTCCCGCAGAGACAATCAGAAGGGAGAGGGTGCAGGCAAGTAAGGGATTGGCTAGTTTCGCATGTGGCTGGACGAGCTAGGAACCTCCGCTGCTTCAGCCCGTTCCTGTGAGAGCCAGGATCCACAGAGCTATATGTGCGGTCTGTTTTAAGAGTCCTCCGAGAACAACTGAACTCGTCCTGAAGTATGTCGTTTCGTCCTTCGTCCAGTCTCTAGCTCAAAAACCGCACAGGTGCTTCCCCCAGGCTAGAAATAACTGCAGGAAGCAGCGCCTTGATTAGGAAAAATTTAAGAGTAAAGGCCGACTCCCTTATTGGGTACGATGTCAGTTTGGAAGAAATGGCGCCTTCCGAATTCCCCCATCCCTCGTATGACTCCCTGCCAACCTGACTGCACTCTTACCGAGTGTCCAGGATTTTGGTTGTCGAGGGGAAGGACGAGAACAGTGTACGACCCCCCCCCCCCCCTGAGGGGTTCTACATAAAGCTTAGGTACGCTTCCTCCTGAGCTCGAATGTCGCAGCTGCTTATAGCGGAAACGCTACGCACCAACGCTCTATATATAGAGCACGCATGAAAAAAGAAAATCACATCATCGCAAAAATCTCTCTCGGCGCGAAATACTACCTCCTTCCCCAGCAATCAAATACGACTCCTTGACGGGTTCCGCAGAAATACCTGCCCATAGCGAGGATTGACCAAAGCTACAGGCGCCAGTGTCACACACACGCGTCAAGTAGCGTGTCAGGAGGCGTGGTTTGACGCACCGCCTGCCCCTTATCCACCCAAATTGTTGTAGCGTAAGCGACACTTGGTGGAGAGTGACTGACACAGGTTATCACTCGTCTAACAAATGAAAAAAAACGGGCTGGGACCTAGGCCAAATCAACAACCGGGGAGAAACTTCGGTCAACATCCAGCCGGAATTTTGATGAATTGAGCAACCATGAGATGGAAGAAGTATCCTTTCGAATAAAATAGCACTTTTCAAAAATATGGTTTCCACACAGTGAATCAGAGAGTTTCTGCTAACCTCAGGGAAGCTCAGGTTGCGGACATCAGCGCTTCTGAACATTTTTCGAAGGCAATATTCAAGCTTCATAGAGAATGCAATAGAAGACAGTTGGCACCGACCACTTGTAATTATATGTTCCCTCAGAGGCCAAAGAGTAGGGGCTTTTCCAACATGCTGAAAATATACAGTATAATATTTGTCTTCAAGTTTTCTTTTGGGAGTTAACCGTACTGTACGAGTACTCTGGAAGTTGGTCCTGAGTAGTGTGAGGTACAATGCGATGTGTTCCATGACAAGTGGAACTTTTCGTGGCGGTCCTGGCGCGAAAGTCCCGACCGCAGAGAAGCAGAGGGTTACGGCTGCAAAGGCATCAAAAGGTGCAAAGAACAGATGACCAGGGCGAAAGTTTTTTAAGGAAAAGAACATGGCGTAGGATGACTCCCCTGTCAGATAAAAGTCACTGTTACGGTCACTGTGGTCAAAGAGACCACTATAACAGTGCACAGAAAAATAGGAAAGTTGGCGCGACTGAATGAAGCAAGTTCTATATGTCTGTAGACCATTGTTATGCTGAAAACGAATTCTTCGAGGGACCGGCGATAGGGTACGCGTTGACACGTTGCCAAAGAGCTGTGGAGGATCATGATGCGCCAATCTAAACGAAGCATGAGCGCAGAGTCGGAGAAAGCCGAGTTCTGCGGGTGTTGTGTGTCTTGCGTGGTGCTCGGTTCGCTGGAGAAACATAGAAGAGCTTTTAACAGCTTCATCCTGCCACACATCCTTCCAGTAACTAGATCGAAACCCTTTCTCATTTTCAAAGTCACGGGCCTTCCTACGTGTGACAAGACAGATGCCTGGTGGTCGTGGCGGAGCGCCGCCGCGCCCGACAGACGAGTTACACTGCCTAACTTTTGGAATTTATGTGCTAAAAAGACGGAGAAATTGATAGCGCCCGTCATGAAGCCCTGCCTCCGTTTATATAAATAGAGTTTCGCTCTCAGTCAAAAAAAATCGAAGATGTCCGCAAGGATTTTCCGAGCGCCGCCGCACGATCCGTCGCGTGTCCGTCTCCACTGCCCACCTCGCCCATGGAAATGACCTATGTACCTTACAGCTAAGCGTACAGTGGCTCTTTAAATTGTGCATCGAATAATGAACTTCCAAAAAGATCTTATAAAGAGAAGATCAGTCGAAACTAACCACTGTCTTTTTTATTCCCTCCTCGTGACAATATACGTCCAAATATATTGTGGAATCATGCATCTAAAACATGTCATCATTTTTGAAAACACCCCTCCCGAATAGCGCCCAGTCCGTGTAACGAACCGTTCGTATTTCTACGTTCTTCAATGAATCTTCTTTTCATCCATCTCTCATTGCACCGAATAAGCTCGAACATATCTCGATTCAGTAGGCGACAACTATCAACATCTCTCCGGCTCAGATTTCGTAGAATTTTCACTTGTAACTCCCTCGGAAGGAGATACCACGGGAAATAATCCTGGAAAGGCTAGATAACGGCTGAAGTGCATGAAGACCTTCACGGCTAGCCATTGATTAACTACACTCCTTATCACGAAGTGGGGAGGGCGTGGCCGCGCATCACCGTTCGACCATTGCACAGGTGTTTTTCCTAGCAAATCTCCACTCACGGAATCTGTTCATCCTATCTCCTGCTGCACGCAAGCATGCTTACAGTGGTTCTAAAAACGACAGTAAGTCGCAGGCGTAGCCGCTACCCCATGGAATGGCGCACGCTGGCACGCCTACCCCGTCGTCGGGATATGAAGTGTACCCATGATGAACTACGAAAGGTGGATATGGTGTTTCAAGGGATTGGACAAAAACTCACCTTTGTTTGACACTGTGAGAGATCCTGTAGACCACACTCCATATTGGCAATGTTGGATTTACCACCTAAAATTTATTTCAAAAATACTAACTGGAAGGGATCAAGCACCGACCGTTTTTTTTTCAGAAATTCCGGTAAAAAGCTTCATTGATTTTGCAATGAACGCTCAGAAGAATAGCCATAGAATAGAATAGGAATCAGTTGTCCAGGCAACAACAGACACCCTTCTTGCAGGGGAACTACGGGTCCCTCGGGCATAGGACAAAAGTATCGCAATTTGCCTCGGGGTGGGCGTGGAGAGCTGCGCCGCGCCTCGAGAGGCGAGTTCCCCAAAAAGCTAATCGAATTCGAATATTACAAGGACGGAAAAGGGCATTACCCAGGGATGCTAAAGTGTTCCGATGTTCCATTGCTATGACAGTAACAACAGAAGGTGTACGAAATGGCCGACAACACGTCAGTGTGTGCGCGAAAATGTGAAAAAAAAATTAAAAAAGAAGATGCAACGGTTCCCACGAGTCGCGTTGCTGCAGTGAACAAGCCGAAGCAGATTGGACGTCGTACTGTCAAGGAACTTCTACTAGATCCAAAATATTTCGAAGTGATTTGGATTTCTTACTTGACGAAAACTACAGTAAAACAATGAAAAGAGCAATGGAACTCTGAAGCAACTCACCATTTCAGTCACCGTCCCCTACTTTGCTTGAAGTATTTCTTTTCGTGCCAAAGATAGTGTATGATGAAAGGACCAAGAGAGTTACTGTAGCTATGCAGGAGAAGCTTGATTTCAAGTAGTTTGCGTGCTTAATACCAAGAAAAGATCAACTAGGGGATATTTATCCCTTTATCCTTTATATAGAATGATTACGCTCGGCCTCGGTGAGGTCGCAGTCATCGCATCGAGCACCGTAGGATACGCCGCGCCCATGTTGTATCTCCAGGTACAACTGGGGATACAGGTACCGCACCTGAGGGCAGCCGAACCCCCACTGGAGTCTATAACAAGCACTATACCTTTCACACTCAGCGCCATTTCACTCCGAATTCTCCGTAGTGTCCAGCATTTCTGCTAGAGAGGACAAGGCGTTCGATGGGAGAGCGTGCAATTCTTAAGCGATGTTCAGGTCTTTGACGACGACAAACAGGTTGAAATATTGGCCGGATAAAAGTTTCTACCTACAAACCTCGTTGGCAAAAACAGAAGAACAACACATCGTCTCCATAATCTGCCTGGTGTTCTCCTTCGGTGGCTGCTCGGACGGACTTAAAGTCATTAGGAATGATAATTAGGCAGTCGGTCTAGAATGGTAGCAGGGATGCAACGAAAAGAAATTACGAAAAAGCAAAAGTGAGACAGT